ATGCGGCAATCATGGAGTGATCAGTCTGATCTCAATTGCCTCTACATTGCTTTCGTCTATCATTTTCCACATACTGACTGGCACTCGTGAAAGCCAGATTAGTGTAGAGCAAGCCGGATTTCGTCGAGGTCGGGGCTGGATCGACCACATCTTCACCTTGCGTCAATTGTTGGGGCACCGCCATGTTTACTGGCAACCTACCATTGTCGCGTTTCTCGACATCAAAGGTGCCTTCGATTCGGTGGATCGATGTGCTCTTTGGGACTGTCTGCTGTGAAAAGGTGTGCCCGATAAATATGTAAACATTATCAAAGCGTTGTACGCGCATACGTCCGGGCAGAGTGAGGGTTTATGGCAAACTTTCACCACCCTTCAATATCTCCAGCGGTCTGAGACAAGGTTGCCCGCTGTCACCTTTCCTCTTTAACTTCGCTATTGATGGAGTCATGGAAACAGCATTCGCTGGACACGATCTAGAAGGTGGGAAGCTGCTTCCTGATGAGCGACGTCTTGACGTGGAGTATGCGGACGATATTGCCCTAATCTGTGACAGCTCCCAAACGTGCCAGGCTGCACTTGACCGTTTAGCACTGGCTGTCTATCGTTTTGGGCTATGCTTTGCTCCATCGAAATGCAAAGTACTTCTCCAAGATTGGCAGGGACCCACCCCTGCGCTAACGCTTTGTGGTGATCTGCTAGAAGTCGTTCAGGAATTCAAGTACCTGGGCAGCTATATTAGCGCCCGTGGGATCGAAGATGAGGTTACGAACCGTATAGCAAAAGCTCGACTTACTTTTTCCAGTCTCCGCCACCTGTGACGCAGACACGACATTACTCTCGCCCTGAAGGGCAGAGTTTATAACGCAGCCCTACGTTCAACCCTCCTATATGGTTGTGAAACCTGGCCCATCAGGTCGACAGGCATAAAGAGGCTCGTCACATTCGATGACCGCTGCCTTCGCGGCTTAACTCATGTCTGGTGGGAGCACCGTGTGAGCAATGAGCGTGTTCGGCGCCGCGTATTTGGTGCAAGAATAGCGAGTGAACCGCTCAGCATCATTATATCACGCACCAGATTCCGATGGCTGGGCCATGTGTTGCGCATGCCAGCACACCGACTCCCATGACGTGCGTTGTTTGCGCGCTGGGGGTGCGATTAGAAGAGGAGAGGAGGCCAAGCGATGATTTGGTCGAGTGGAATGAAACCCTCAATTGAAAAATTGGCGTCTGTTGGCGTATTCCGACTACATGGCGGAAGTCCTAAGGACGATGAATACGTTTGGTTGGACACACTTGCTGATATGCCTAGGAGCCGGCCCCAATGGCGTTTGTGTTGTGACTTTCTTTGTCTATCCCTCTCCCTTTATGTTCCCCTTCCAATCTCGGCTACATGCAGTACTTATAATATAATATTTAACATCATATTTTTGTAGTGTAATTTCTTTCGTCTTTTATCTTTTTGTATTACAGCACATTAGCTGAGGTGTGTTTCTCACCCTCAGCTAACGTGTACTGATGATGATTATGATGAAGATGTTGTACTTCGTTGGAACGAAGGTCATTCCAAACTGGGTGACAGACACCTCTAATCTGGACAACACATTTTGGGCGGCCCGCGAGGAATTGAGTATCACGGCGTTGTCGTCGTCATACTCCGGATCGCGAATTCGCCGCTGGCTTCACAGCTGTCCAGATCACTCCAGGATATCGTCCATTGAGAGGTTGAACAAGAAGTGTGATGCTGGGCAGCTCTGTCACACTCCTCTGGTGATGATAAATGGGGCATAAGTCCGCCGGACATCCTCACTCGGCCTGAGGTTCGAGAGTAAATGATTCGAAGACTGATGACATACTTCTCGGGCACTCCCCTTCTCCACAACCAACTTCAGAGTGCAGCTCGGTCAACTGAGTTAAACACGGATCATGTGTCTTAAAAGATGACGATTGTTGGCCGGCCGAGCGTTTGACGACGCTCGAATATTTGGCGTAGCGTAAATATGTGATAATGCAACTCCGACCCTACCGCAACCCAGCCTGCTCTTCGCATGTTCTGTTCGCGTACTGTGCTGCGCCTCCTTTGATGCACTGCGGCCAGCATTTTGGATGCAACGCATTCTGCCCGGGCACGATATCCGTAGGCTCCAATCAGACGGGATTGCTTCGGTGAGACAAACCTCTTTTAGAAGTTAGCTCCCGAGCAAGTGCTTCGCTTCCATCTTTGAAAAAAGCCGGAAGGAATTAATCTGGGAAGATGCCTTTGTAGCTCTCTAGGAAGCGAAGCTAACTAGCAGCCTCATCCTCAGATGGTTGTGAAGCGTCTTCACACCAGGCAGCATTCTAGATTCCTGAGTTAGAACTCACCGGTGTTGCTGACCAATTAAACGAATGTTCGAGATGCTTGGCCCAACGGATAATTCAACGTTATTTACAATGGATTGACATCCGCTATTGGTTTCGCACAACTCTTCGCTTACCGTCGGCCTTTTGCCGCCAGTAGATCGAATCAGGAGGAAAAGCTTTCGGAAATTTCCTGAGGTTCCTCAATGACCCGTTGGCTCCACTAGGCCTCGCTATCTACTCGGTGGAGTTGTTTGTGTTCAGCGTTGGTTGTGAATGACACTCAGCGCCCACTAGAATTACCCGACAGACCTTGGGAAGCTGGAGAGATCGTGCGATTATCCAGTATTTAACAGGACTACTGATGAAACTGCAGACTATGATTACAGTGTTGTTCATCGCCCTGTGGATGTACATCTAGTGCGTCTCAATGTCCGGTTACGGCACTCTTGGGGCTTAATGCCAAGGAATCATGAAAGGCCCTCAGAACATTGGAGTCGAAGACAGCCACGTCAAACCGGGTGCCACTAAAACGCAGTGATGCCCTAGGATACACGAGCACATGGTTTGTAGTGCAGTGTGTACTCGAGATTGTGTTGCATTCCTGTAGGTAGCCCCGCCATCCTTCACCGATGATGATGTGGTCAATTGACGTCTGTGCCTAACCAAGTAATTGCGGGTTCTAGGTGGCGCGTTGGTGCCGGGATCACCGACAGTTGGTACTTCAGGGGATTAGGTCATACATAGTACAAAACTATTGGAGGCGATCACCGTTTTCCGTCTTGCGAACACTATGGCCATGTTGACCACCGATTTCACCTTCGTCAGCTTGAAGTCTGCCGACTTACGCGTTTCGGTCTCCGACATGCATCACTATGTCCGTGAAGCGCTTTTTCAAAGACCAGAAGGTTGATAGCAGAAATATCATCTTTAACAGAATCAAGGCTGCAATCTGTTGGAACAGTTACCGTTACAACGAACAAATAGCGTCTGATAATGGAATTACCGTGCGCCATGTGCACAGCACCATTAGGATGCGATTTTTGATATTTCTTACTACATCTGAGTTTTCTAGAGCAGAAATTCAAATGTTTTGCTAGCCTCTGGTCCGAGTCCCCTCTCCATGCATGTATTTGAACACCGTTACAGTATCCCGTTCCCCGCGCGTCCCTTACAATTGTTTACCAACGTAACGCCACTACACAATTCTGCTAAATCACTTTTGTATGCGCTTTTCGTTGACGTGCAGCCAGTCTCACATGGAGCAAAACACCACTCAGTTTGACTGTGTTACATTGTTGTCAAAATCCCGTGCCCCCCCCAAATGCAGAATCTCGAACTGGGCTTCAACCGAACACAAACTCAGTTTGTCGCAAATTTCTTTCATCGCTATGTGCTACAATTGTGGCTGCTTCCCGTAATGCCTCGGATTGGAAACACAACGTATCCTGCACGTCCATGCAGCTCCATCTAGGGGCGAGCGGTCATCCTGTCATGACCTGACCCACATCACATACACTGATGGTTGCTGAGTGCGTGGTGATCTTGTCAGGTGATGTACCTTATCTGACCGTCTCTTTGCTATCGTCAGTCTCCTTTTATCTGGTTTAGGAGAGGACTCGCGAATAATAAGAGAAAATGGAAAGCAACGGACACTAGAGACATTTCTGCACACAGGTGCTATAACTCGACTGTTGTTTCCTGTGCATGTTTTATGGCCTTTGACTAACTGGTTATTGTCAAGCGAGAGAGCAAGATGCCAATTCAACGTTACCGCGATAGCCTTGCGAATTGCTCACAACCGGATTTCGACTAGCACTCTGCAATGCTGTATGAGGGAGTTTCAACTATGTACCGTGTCGGAGTAGTTTTAGCGGCTCATCACATTGTCGTTCAGAAGACTTGAATCAGCTTGCACTGGTCGATTGCAAATCTGTAAAAAAAAGTTCGTAAAAAGAGACGGGTGCAACATCGAGCAATTCATAGATTGCCCCAGACAGTAGCGCGATGAACGTTTGCCCACGGCTGCGCTTGATGTGCATGTTGACAAGGTGTTTGGCTATATATAAATATATATATATATATATATATATATAAATTTATGTATGTATATATATATGCTCGTTGGGCCACTCTTCAAAATGAGACCAGACAAGCCTTGATGCCTCCGAGCATGAAGGAACTCAATGTGACGGTGCTTCATAATAATGGCTGATCACAACCACGACCTTTCCTTGTTTCGTTGCAGCCGGGCAAAACCAATTTCGTGGCTGCGATTTCATTTCATCTGACTCAACATTATTCAAACGTAAGGTGCAATCAATTACCTTGCACAGCTATTGAACTCTGCCGCATTACTATCATGTGGTAGCTCCTTCCGTCTGTTACCTTTAAGCGTAAGGCGGGTTGCCTTTTATTGCTGCCTAGGAAAACCTTTTGTTCAAGAGATGCGCCCTTGTGAGCCCTCTTCCGCTTCGGTTTGATGCTTTGCCTCATCTTAGGTCATGGCGACGTCAACATGTCGATGCACCACTTTGAACATCCTTTCCGTTCGACCATTGTACACTCTCCTCGTTCCTTATCGTTGTAATTTGTTTCTTTACTGCGCTATTCTCTCATTGTATACTTTTGCAGACTAATATCATTTTGCCTTCATCCTGCAGAGACGGGGATTCGCAAGGATCTGCTCCTTTGTCATCTTTGTCTGCCACATCCTCACTGCATGAACAAGAGGTCCAGTTCCCTGCTCACGAACACACCGACTCTGGTGGACAAGTAAGGGAGTTGTTCGCGCCTTCACCTTTAGGGTTTACTGCTGATTTTTGTTGAAGTAACTCTTTGAAGCGATTTCTAGCATTCCGCACTTTGTCGATGGGCCAGGACACATACCCCAAGTGCCTCAAATATCTTTACCCAAATAAATATTTATTCTTGACTATGCGAGGTATGCCATCGGAGGCATGATCAAATAACTGCAGTTGTGCAGACATTTCATGGTGATAGTAACGATATCAATCAAAAATTGTTCAGGCGTTCACGGTTGAAACTGTACGTATGGTACAAATGTAAAAATGAAAAAAATTGTTTGTCGTGAGATGGGCTACTTTTGCATGAGAATACTCAGTCTGCCATACGTTGCAGTAAATGTCATGAACTACGGATTATCAATAAGAAAAGAACTGGTGCAGAACAAGATCGACGGTGCTTTCACGATAAACTGGGTTCATGTGAGTGTAACGTACAGATCAACGGTGAATGCGTAGAAGGTGACGTAGCGATTGCATATGCAGATTGGAAAATGTCAGGGCATATCAGAAATGCTGAAATATGGCGCTATTCAGCTTGTCAGTGTGAAGTCATGTGCTGTGACTTTATTCGCTGGCGATTCACATCTGCTATGTCGCAGTATTGGTAGACGGACATTTGTGGCTTTTTAAAGGGAGAACGTTTGCCAGGCGAAAACCCACCACGTCCTGGAATACTACCATCGATCCATTTGTACGGCACGGTGTAACTAGCAATGCTTCTTATTGACCGATTATTGACGCTGTTAGACACAGTCAGGATACACCCAGATTTTCCGTTTGCTGATGTATGGTAGGCTAGATCCTGTTTCATCCTTAGGTGCTATCCTGTCCTGGCGGAATGGCTCGGCCGTTTGGTAGGTAGATCAAATGTTTAACATTTTGAGAATGTTATGTATTGGTTGTCAGTAGAACCGCGTACTGTCTCCGGAGAGTATCCAAACCAATAATGTTGAACACTTTTTGGAGCACGGGAAAAGGTTGAACCCAATTGTTCAATCCCTGAAGTATGGCAAATTGTCCGGAATAACGAGACCGAATTCTTCCGCGGGTAAGTTACATTGATTGGAAACACTTACATCCACGACCAAGTGAACGGCGAAAGTAGAGTGAATTGCTCCAGATGTGTGGTAAGTGACAAGTATTTGCCCAGTAATGAATATGGCCGAATCCATTTGTTTTGCCCTTAGGGAAAGATAACATTGTATTGTGATTTTTCCAACTAGAAAGGCCGAAACAGCTGCCTTCTGAAGTCGGGCGAAAGGTCCCTGTTGACATTAAATGTCAACCGGAGAGATCCGGACAAGAAGTATGAAAGGACGAAGTTATGAGGCGAGCTGAACGCAATGTTTAGTCCTCCAGATATATATATATATATATATATATATATATATATATGGTGGTAGGGAAAGAAGAATATAATGTTAAACGAGGCGATAGCGAGTAAACGTTAGAAGCTTTTTTCAGTTTATACTCGCCGCCTTGAGTACTTTTCGTTTTTTATTAAAAATTACATGTTGAAGAGATTGTAGAACAGGATTGACATAACTGAATCCTATTGCGCGCTATATTTTCCAAGACTTCCAACCATTGGGAATCCGTTTCATGTGATCCCCAGTCGGGGCGACGCACGGATCCAACTGATGCTAGACACGAAGTTAGAATCTTCATACTGCTTTTCCAGGTCAGCGGTTGCACGCCGCGGCTCTTTTTCCATTTGCCTCCAGGAAGTTTAAATAATGCGCGACGGGGAAGGTGGTGGGCTGGCATTCGCAGTACGTGACCGATCCAACGCAAGCGGTGCTGGATGTTTATGCTCTGGAGACAAGGACTGTCTGTTCCCATGACTCTGTTTCTAATTTCCACGTTGCTCACTTGGTGCTACCACCATACGCGCACAATCGAACGCAAGCAGCGGTTGTCGAAAGTAGACAGTCGTCTCAAATCTTCCGATCGGATAGACCAGGTCTCGCAGACGTACAGTAGGACAGCACAAACTGTGGCATTGTACACTCGGCCTTTGAGCTTGAGACTAACATCGCGACGACGCCACAAGTGTCTCAACTTAGTAAATGCATGGCGAGCTTTGACAATTCGTTGTGAAATTTCATCGCCAATGCCGCTACCGGCCGTGATGCAACTCCCGACGTAAGTAAAGCCGTTAACGAGCTCCAAACTGACACCCAAAATGGTGAGCCTAGGCACAGGCGCCTGCCAATGCTGGAGCAAAGCTTTACACTTGGATGGAGCGAAATACAGACCATACTTCGATGCCACTTCGCTAAGCGGTTCAGAATGTTTTGAAGAGCCTGCGAGTTGTCGCCCAGCAAAACGATGTCATCAGCATAGTCCAGGTTCACGACTCTGCTCACGGGTAGAAGCTTAACGCCGTAGCTCTAGGCTCATTCCATTGCGCGATGTAGGACATCTTCGATGGCAAAGTTGAACAGGAACGGCGAAATAAGACAATTTTGTCGCACTCCACTGGTAACGGGAAATGAAGAAGAAAATCTACCATAAGCTCTAACTTTGCCAGAGGTGTGACTATACAGCTTTTTTAAGAGTGTGACAAACTTCTCGGGAACGCCGTTCCGTAGCAGACAATTCCACAGTGACGACCTATCTACTGAGTCAAAAGCGCCTCGGATATTCATAAATATCACCATTCTTTGTCTTCTTTGGACAGGACGATGTTGTGGAATTTGACGCAACGTGAAAATTTGGTCAATGCAACCACGGCCAGAACGAAAGCCAACCTGCAGTCCCTAATGTTGCCACACTAGCGATGACTTATGTGGATGTGGTCAATCTGTAACCAATGTTGAGGGGATGATAAAGCGTGCCAGGTAGCGTGGTGACGTCTAGGGTTGCGAAGTTCATGCTGGAGACAAAATGCGTAGTCTTTCTCCATTGTCTGAACAAAAGTCGTCGTATCCGTGCGGACCTTCAAGATGGCATTCGCTTGGTAACAAACGACCAACTCGCGAGTTGAAATCCCCCGCCATAATAATGATGTCCGTTTTATGGACCCTTAAGAGCAAACCATGTAGGTTCTGATAGAATTGGTCCTTGACGGTATCCGGGATACAGTCAGTGGGAGCATAGGCGGAGGCTATAAAAAGAGCACGTTTGTCTTCTCGACGCCTGTTAACCTTGCACGCGCCATGGAGTCTGACGGCACACAGGTAACTCTTGATCGGAATCCATTCGAGAAGGGCGGCTTCGGCTCTGACACTAAGGGCGACCCCAACACCACCTTGTCCAGAAGCGGTAGCCTCGGCGTCTCTAGAAAGTCGAAGGTGGAAAGGGGTATAAGGGTATATTGGTGAAGATAATGGGTAGACTGTGCTGGAATCCTGAAGTCCTGTTTCGGACAAACAACAGACATCAATTGCAAGCGTTGCTATAGTGCGTGCGAGACCGGCTTGTTGCCCAATCTGTTATAAGGTGCGCACATTGAACGCCGCCAAGTTGCACTGTGTCTTCGGTTGCAGAAGCGGAGAGGAGAGAATTCGGGACTGTTCAATCCCAGTTTGGCGTTTCGTGATTATGTCAGAGGATCGAGTGGCTACAGTACTATTGGCGGAAGGAATGCTGTTAATCGTTGATTGATCAGACGAAAGACAGGGGAAGAGTGGATAAGTGAGTGGGGTACGATGGAAGAGTGTTTACAGTAGTAGCATGAGAGCAAGGCTCCGGTAGAGCGAAGAGTGCAGTTCAGTTCCATGGTTCATCAGAAGTCGAGATACTACCCGGTTGCCTAGGCCGAAGTTGCGGGTTGTTTTAGGGGGCCGCCACCCCGAGCCTTTGGCTCAATAGACTACCCGCAAGGCAGCGGGGCGAATTCAGGGAATCGCGCCCATTGGGAACCGGTGACCGATTACTCGATTCACGCGACTTTCGTTTGGTCAAGTACCAAACAGGGGCCCAATCCTCCCCACGATGACAGCATCTGGCATCTGGAATACAATGCTCCACTGGAGTGAAGCAAGGGGCATTGACTTTATTTAGTGGCGGGTCACATCCGCCACCTCGCAGCGTTGTTAAACGGACATATGTGACTTTTTATAAGCAGAACGCTGGCCAGGCGAAAACCCATCACGTCCTGGAACACTGCCGCGGAACCATTCGTTGGAACGGGACAATCCCGAACCACCCAGCTGACACCACAGAGAGAATGTTCGACAAGCCAGCCTTAGGCCTCCAGAGAATGGTATCCATCCACGTTCATAGGAATGAACACTTTGTTTATTTTTGAGTAGGTGACTTTTAATGTTATTAATCGAGGATTTTCGCAGCAGCTCTGAGATCAGATTTTTTCCGCGCATCCCGAAGAGCACTAGGCTACCGTTTCGTCATCTCGGGACCGGTCAGTTATATACACCTGGCGGCTTCAAGAGGAACTTAACGCACGCTCTCTAGACACATGCGGCTTTCCCCACTGAATAGTTGATCGTGTCACCAGGCTGCGCCCGTGAGACCGTCATGCATCACAAGCTAACTACGATATAGCTTGACTCATCCTCCACTGTCATGTAATTTAATAACGTTGCAGGATACAAGATTGGCTCCTAGAACCGCAGTCTTCCGCGATCTGTTCATGGATATATGATACGGATATCCAAGGCTTTGAATATTCTAGATCTGACCATGGATGGTATTAATTATACCTCGTTTGATTCCTGGATAATAAACCATTCTCTGAGAACTTCCCACTTCGAATTGTAAGGCATACTGCTATTCGGGTACCTGCATTTGCTTACGTGCTTGACAAGAACCATTAACATATTGATCCTTGCAATTTTCTGGCCATTGATTTACGAACGAAATCGTCGAACAGCTGAACACATCACCAGCTCTTTTCTTATAACCATATCTCTCGGATCACATTGTGGGGCCAATGAACTCTCTAAACTCTGCCTATCGCTAGTTTTTCAACGGCTTATCTCTCCCTCTCTCTCATATGCAGGTGGACATACCACGACTTACCACTGATTATTCTCCCCACGCTTTGCACTTTTCAAAGGAGCCACACTCTACCGACAAAGGCCCTTCTGCCAACTGCTTGATCCAAGCGGAATTCGCAGCCCGAAAGCGGTAAGTCATTCAACTCGATGAGAAGCACACATCTGTTACTTCATCCAGTGTCCTTTCTTCGCAAATAGAAGTGCTCACTGTGTTATCCATTCCTCGAGTGCGCAATGCTCTCCAGATCAACCGGATTTAAACTACCGCAGCCAGGCTGGAATTTAATGTGGTACTATGGTTTGCGCTCCTTCGTGACCCATTGATCTACGCTAGGTGGTACTTTTAAAGTGCCTTCGGTATTACACATACCAGAGAAGTCAATAGCTAGAGCTTAGACCAGTTCAACCTTAGGACCCCTCCAGAGGTCAGGGTGAGGTCGATAGTCTTCTCCTCTTAGAAACTATCCATGAAAGACAACAGGTTTACTGGTTATAATCTCCTAGCTCGATTAGCATAGAGCGCGAGCGCCGCGCATTTTCATTGACATTGGGGTGGCTCAATAATTTTCTGCAACTCGCCTCAAGCCTGACAGCCCCTGGTCAAATGGTATTGGACCCGCTAACTCCCACCTGCGGTTGGCCTTGTTCGCAGTTGCGTAATGTACTGCAGTCGGAAAATGCTTGTGAATTGTTTAAATCTTTAAAAGCCCTGCGTTGGAGATCTGAGGCAGCTCCCAGCAGATGTGCAATTACACCGCGAGCTGGACTTTCTCCTCACTCCGGGCGGAGCCTCTCAAGCGAACCTCCATCTAACCCAATCACCTTGTAACAGACAAGCTTAAGTTGTTGGCTAGTTGGAATCTGCCTCTAGCGGTTATGGGTTCGATCCCCAGTAAGAAACCGAGGGAATGCACACCACTGACGAGCTCAAGTAAGGCGAAACGCGTCTAGTGCTTTTCCGGACCAGGTTGTACTATGTAGCTTGTGAGCAGCTGGGACGAAAAGATTACAATAACTTTTTATTCTCACGGATCAGACTGTCGAGTTAAAAGCTATGGATGGGTCACCTTAAACACTCAGCTGTATGACATACATGGGGTAATATTATAAACTGTGTGTTGGCTTTGTTGATATTGTTGAAGTCTTCCGCCTTATTTTTGCTCATCTTCCACTTTTCAGCGGAGTCCATCTGAGGTGTATTTTAGCAACCATCTGAATGAGCTGAGCAGCGACTCTTCGGCAACTCTAATCTCGGTTTGTGTGAGCCCTGAACTGAAGCTTGCTGCATGCCTCGAGTGTGTGCGCTTCCCATGTAAAATTGCCTTGTCTGCCTGTCGTTCGCCGATGAAAGCCTGCACTTCTATTCGTTTCCGCCTTTGTTTTTCATTATGTGTCACATTCAATCTCCTCATCATGTAATTGCTTTGTGTGCATGTGTTCCGTTGTCTTCGGATGAAACCTGTCTCATGGAACTTTCTCTCTCGGTGTGTCCACGTTGTGTCACATGTCTCGTTGTTATCCATCCGTCCGCGCATTTCGTTAGATCGATCCCTTTCATACCCATGCGTCCATTTGCGCTCTCTTCCACTAACAGGAATGCGATGAATTCCAGACGACGATTCTCCAGCCACCCAGTAGATTTCCGTGGAATGTATCCTTTTGCTGCGAACCCTTTTGGGTACCAGTGTCTACCTGGTGAACGGCTGTCAACGCACCACAATTCCGCACGTACTTCTCTGGGACCAACCACTTGTTCGTTTCACGTACGTTTCTGTCTTCTTTGTTGTCTTTCCGATTTCATGTACTGACACCCAGCTCCCCCACGCCAAGCTCGGTATTAGTTGGATTGATTAAGAGGATCCCTTCCTGCACCCTGTCACCAAGTTGTGCAGCCCAACTAGCCTATTAGAGGAATTCGATCATTAGACCGTGAGCACCTCACCAGTTAAAATTGGCTGGGATCCTGCGTGTCTTCGTAATAGCCGCCTTCGCGCTCTGCACCGCAGGCGCTCCAAAGATTGCTTCTATGCGTAATTTCTATTGCGTAATTTCACCGCGCAGGCTTCGAGGTGGCACGTGTTTGGAATGCTTGCACAGTCGCCACCTCACCGCATCCTGTGTGTGTGGTGTGTGTGTGTTGAGGTTGGTTGTAATGGACACCATGAAAGCAAATTCGGGAATTGGCCTAAAGGCGTCCGTCTGTGATGGTTCGCATTGTTTATGATATGCCGCTGAAGGCGCAGTGAGCACCTGCACGATTGACAGCAAAGCTTCCCGTTACGGTCAACAGCCGCAGTCACCGGTGTAAATCTTGTGACATACTCCTTTTTGAACAATGTGGTAAGAAGAGTAAAGCTGGTGGATGCATACATTTCGTATTGTCTCGTCAGTACCATTAACAATAACTGGGATGCAACTATATAAATGACTATGGATGTGACTAAACAGCCTTGAGGTGCTAAATGAATGACGAAAGTTCCAACCCTATGTCCCTGGCAGTCTCAAGCTCATAAGTAATTGTTTTTGAATACACAGGGCTCTCTTCATCCAGTTTGTTGCCACAGCCTCGGCGAAACGAAGGAAGCGAGTCTTAGGGTGGGGTAACACGATTGTGAACGCTGATCCGAGCTTTTTTGGGTGACACGTGACCAGTAGGAAACTGGCGGCCTACGCTAGCACGAAGATTCAGGGGGACAGGAACACTGGTCACATTTACTTGTTCCTCCGACGATGGAAGCTCAGCCGATTGGGGCCAGTTCACACCGCATGCGCCAATTCCTGTGTGACTGCGGCTCCATTTACATAGGCAGAACTAATCGATCTCTAACTACCCGAATAAAGGAACATGTGCCGAGGTGGGTTCATCGTGAAATTGACCAGCGTCCCCGCCCCCATGAATTTTCGTGCTCACGCAGGCCATCAGCTTCCTCATTAGGTAGACACCCACTGGTCATGTGTCACCGGATAAAGCTCGGATCAGCGTTCACAGGCGTATTACTCACCTTAATACTCGCTTCCTCTGTTTCGTCGAGGCTGTGGCAATAAGCCGGATGAAGCCAACCCTGTGTATTCAAAAGCATTTATTTATGAGCTTGAGACTGCCATGAATATGGGGTTAGAACTTCCGTCATTTATTTTGCACCTCAAGGTTGTTTGTTCACACCCATTGTCATTTATATAGTTGCATCCCAGTTATTGTTAATGGTACTACCGAGACAATACGAAATGCATCCATCTGTCTGCTTTCGTCTTCTTATCTCATTGTTCAGACTGCTAAAGGGAACTAACTACTTTAGGCCTTATTTAAAATTCTGTTGTAGTCGAGAGGCGTTATGGCGGTCTGTAGATCCAGGCTCAGCCGTCTCGCATAAATGTGGATCTCGCTGGTGTTGTGTGTTTCGCGGTTACTAATCTTTCGTTTTGCTTCCCCTTCCAACTACTTGTTATACTGGTGCGCTGCTTTGTCTGGGGGATTGCGACCGTCTGTCTGCCCAACCACGCGCTCAACCAACCGAAGGAAACCCAAAAAACCAAGTCTTTGTAGACGGGGTATATTCTACAGAACTGGTCGTGTCTACTTATTGTTTAACCATATATACTAATTTTGTAACGCATGGTCACCCGATCTTCAGCGTCTGGCCCTCAGTCAATGTGAGCGAGTTCCGTTCCACTGGTTTGTCATATTTGGTACAATCGTTTGCCTCCTTCTTCGACCCTGCTCAAACGTCGGACGCCGGCTTTAATTTGCTGGAAAAATTCGGCAGAACAGACGAGCGCGGTTTCTCGCCCGTACACGTGGCTTTCACACGCAGTTGACTGTTCACGCGCTCCTCGGCAAGCTGCTGCGTAGGGTTTCCGCCTTGTATGCGGACATTGACTGCGCCTGGATTTCCAATAGTACTGACGTGTGATAAAAGCATGGCACGATATTGGTGGGTCATTATGAAGCACTCGTTGGATTCCGACACGCAGTCTCGGTGTAGACCGCGATTCACATTGAGGTGAACCTTGGCCAATTTTATCGCTTGGACCGGAACTGATGGCGCCGATAGATTTTCGGTGTTGCCCGCCTGAGAACACCGCATTGTATGGCCAGGTTCGACCCTATTTGATCTCCTCAGGTATAGCCAGGCGTCGAACCCAAGACCGTTGGAATGTTGGTTGTGACCGCTATCCCTAAACCACCGGGTCACGACGGTTGATGATTGATATTGAGGGTCATTTTGAAGTGCACGTTGTGTGGATGGATTGCGAAACGTAATCGCAATGTTGACCGTGATTCTCATTGAAGTGAACCTTGGTCTTTCGATCACGAGGACCGTAGCTGAAGCCGATAGAAATTGGGTATTGCCCGCCCGAAAATACTGCACTTCTATGACGTGTTTCGTTGTGATTTCCTCTCATCAGATATAGGTAGCAGGCTTCGAACCCGGGACCATTGGGGCGTTAGTTGTGACCGCTATCCCTAAGCCACCGGGTCGCGACGGGAAACGCTTGGCACAACGGTAGAATGAACGATGTTGAGGGTCATTTTGAAGTACACGTTGTGTGGATGGATGACGACACGCAATCTCAATGTTTACCGCGATTCCCAATGGAGTGAACATTGGTCATTCAATCACGAGGACCGTAGATGTAACAGATGAACAATGGGGTGTTTTCCCTCCAAAAACACTGCACACCATTACGCATTTCGAGCTTGTTTGCTCTCCTCAGATGGAGATAGCAGGCATCGATCCCGGGACCATTGGGATGTTAGTTGAGGCTATCCTCTCAGCCACTGGATCACGACGGTCAGCATTTGTCACAACGGTTCTTGTTTGACATTGAGGGTCATTTTGAAGTACATGTTGTGTGGATGAGTTGCAACACACAGTTTAATTGTGCATCGCGATCCGAAGTGGTTGAGCGTTTGTCAATTTCGGGCGGACAACACGCGATATTCATCAAAGCGTGATATCATTCGTTCTACTTTTTTGTGTTCGTTGTCCTTGTTTTTTCGCTCTCTTATTGGATTGTATTGCAGCACAATATCTAAAGTGCCCCTTACCCCTTGTTAACATACGAAATGATGATGATGCTCTAAATTGCACAAACGAACGCTACTCTTTACCATTGACCCTGTGGCTATAGCGAATCGGATCTAATCACTTCATATCGGTTTGTGACTCTCTTTACCTCTTTCCAGAACACTCCACACTCCCATTCATCGTGCTCCGCCTCTGAGTCGCACCTACTGTTGGGACATGGTTGGCGACAGTAAGTGGCTTTGCACTACGTTTCAAACAATTTTAGCACTTCTGCTTATCCGTTTAACACTCAACCTTCTTGCATCATTACCCAATTGATCGTCATCACTTGTGGCATCTGTTTGATCGAATTCATCCGTGTAGAACTTCCGCTGTTATAAACGTGTGCCAAGAAATATGCAAGTTTTGCCAGTGACGATTTATTGGACACCTTCATGATGCTCTTTCGTCATTGTGGTTCTCACTGTTGTTTTGCTTTGCTGTTGCCTTGACATGCTTCATGTCGGCCGACCTTGGAAATCATGACTAAACTCTTTCACGGTGTTACATTTACCCTGGCTGTTCGATCGGTGACTGAAGGAATAAGACGCCTTCCTTGTTACCCGGTGGTCACTGGCTCAAAGCTGCGTGTGTGCGGACTGCTTTATAGTTTGCGATAAATCGGAATACTTGTAGCTCGGGTTGACTGGTCTGGTTTTTGTTTGTTTTATCCAAGCTGAGCAATTGTGCTGCAGCACAATTGCCTCATCGTTTCCCTGGTCTGCAAACAATGGGTGTTGGTCGCGTGAAAGTTGAACCTCAGTGCGACGTACCGACTGATACCTTCCCACCCATTCGACTGTATGCGACTTCAGTAATCGTTGTGGTGCCCTACGCATTTACTGCTTGGTACCTGCCTATGCAGACTCTGTCCTTGTATCTACATAGCATTTGGGTCTGCTCTACCATCTCTCTCTGCTGATTCTCGCAACACCTCAAGTGACCAGCTAAATTATACAGACCATTGCAGATGTCACCCGTGGACAAACAGCCTGCCGAGTGCTGTTTGGAATCGGCCAATCGGTCAATTACCTTGACATCAGTAAGTCCTTGGGTGCGAAATAAACCTTTTTAGTTTCTGATTAGTTGGCATGGCTCTCATAGTAAAAGAGATAAAGGGAAGTACCATCAGTTCATCGGTCCGTCGTACCGGCGCTTTACTGTCATGCAGTCACCAGCAGTTGCGTCCCCGCTAGAAGGATACTGTATACTTGACCGCACCTACGCAGTATTGTATCAGTAACCCTTAGATAAATTAATAACTAATAATGAATCATAAATCTTTTATTCCCTGCCTGTGCGAGAGGCTTTTCCTACATGGGAAAAGATCAAAATGTGTACATATTTTTTCTATCTCCCCTCAACGTATAACAATAAAAAATAGAATTATTTTTATATGTTGAGGGGATTTATAAAAATAATCTGTATACATTTTAACCTTTCTCGATGTGGTAATAGGGATGGGAATATGTTTCTTACCGTTTCGCAATATGCACCTTGTTCAGGGACAAGTGCAAAGTATGTACTGGGGTTAGATTCTCCGTTAAGTGACGTCCCGTCAATTTGAACCAGCGCTTTCTGACCATAAAGCGGAAATGGGACTTTAGTGGCCGAGCCAGTCTTTCAATCTCACGCTGACGCGCAATCGAACTGCATCATTCAGTTGAAACATGTTCAGAATTCCCAGTTCATAGTGGACTCAGGGAGGAAATAAAATAACGATAGTAACAAGGTAGGCAAGACGCAGTTATAAAGTGTTTAGCAGGAAATATAATGAAGGTGTGAATGTTTTTCAATGCAAAATTCAAAAATATACACAACAATTTGCTAGAAATACATAAACTTTGGCAAGCGCCCTTGTAATTTCCCTGGTAGCTGAATTGAGACATCTAAAACTACGAAATCGTGCTGAAAGCCTTACTCTGTGTGTATGAAAATGAACATACTACTAGCAACAGACTCTGGCATTAGATATCATGAAAGCGAAATGTTCACTCTTTGGCAAATGTCAATATATTTGTGTGTGACGCAGACGTACTAGGAAAAGCCGCATTGTTGATGCTGAAGAATAGCTTCGGAATCGTCAGGCGAAGTCTAAACTAGTACCATTAGTTATAACTTACGGGGCCGCGAACCTAGGAAGACTGAAGGTTCACATGAGCACAAGAATCATAGAAAACACGCTGCAAGACTCAACATCATGGCAGCAGCCCGAACCACTCAGCTAACGGCCATCACTGAAGCGTATCTTGCATCACCAACGTTCACTGACCAATCTGTTGTGTGTCCGAGTTGGCTCACACGCCTGGTTCGGCATTGCCTAACTGACACTACTGTTACTGAAGTTGGGTTTGACTTGTGTGTGTAATTCCTTGGGGCTGGTTCTACGTGCATTATGTGTGTCCAGTTCCCACTGCCTCATTTCATTCACACAGTTTCATTGACTTCAGTGTGACGCGCTGAAGAAATGCTTCCGATTGGGGATACTGATGCGTCATCCTCACCTTGATAAGGGGTCTCACAAGAATTATAGCAGAGCTAACTCCCATGATAATCGGAGCTTCAGGAGGAGGTTTTTTTGTTCAAGAAATAGAAGTACTCGTAAATGGCGGCGCGCTTTGTTCGCAACTCGCGTCGGTGTACATTGTTCCGCTGCCCTTACTAACGACGATTTTGTCTTCACGACTTCATTGTATTGCATCTTCTAATCAAACAACGAAGGCCAATATTCAGAATTATACAAAACCGATTTCTATTCAAGATTCTTCAACCAACAAAGAGATTCAAGGTAGCACCACCAACCGCCAACAAATCAACAGAACTACGTAGACAGACGACAGCATTGCTTTAACTTGCTGAAACCCCCCACGGTCGCCACCAGTTGGTTGTCTGACTCGTCCCTCGAGTCCATCTGCTTATTCTGGTTTCATATTCCCATTGCAGCGTGCTTTTGCAATCACCTCCAAGTTGTGCGGTGATTATCCATTTACGAGGGGTGTTAACAAAAACCGAACGTTTGCTATGACATCTTCGTTGCTTATTGCACAATATTTTAAGCACTTTCTTCCTCAAAGTAATCCCTTCTACTCGCAATACACCGTTCTCAACAATACTTCCATTTTTGGAAAGTCTCCTGTGACGCACTTTCTCGGTGGGCGCTCAGGTCTCTTGTCACATTGTCCTGAATCTCCTCTTTGGTTCGGAAACGACCTCCTTTTAACATGATTTTAAGTTTGGGAAACCGGAAAATAGTCTACAGTGGTTGGGTCCGGAGAATACCGTGAATGGGGCACAACGGGAATGTGATTGTTTGCTAGATAGGTGCGGACAAGGAGCGATGCGTGCTCCGGCGCATTGTCATGATGCAACATCCAAGCCTGGTTTTCCCACAGTTCATGCCTCTTCCTGCGCACAGCATACTTCAAACGCGCTAGAATTTGTTACCATGCATCTGTGCTGATGCCCATTTCGTCAGCAACTTCTCAAACAGTCAAAAGACGATTTCCACAGATCACAGCACGAAATCTGTCGACATGGTCATCGACTGCTAATGTGGTGGGTCGTCCAAGCATGGGATGGTCACTGACCAACATTCCGCCGTGTTAAAAACGCTTAAACCACTCATAGCACTACATACGACTCATACAGTCCTCCCCTTATGCTTGGCTAAGCAAATTAAATGTCTCTGTAAGATTAATTGGAAGGTCCATTTTGGATTACATGTTGTGTGCTTGAATTACAACGCTCAATTTTAACATAGATTGCTATTCACATTGGTGAACCTTGGTCACTGCGGTCACTCGGACCGTAGCCCGAAGCAGATGGAAATTGGTGTTGCCCGCCCGAAAACACTGCACAACCACGACGCGTTTCGATGTAATTTCATCTCAGCAGGTGGAGATAGCAAGCCTCGAACCCGAAACCACTGGATAGTAGCCGAAACCTCTACCCCTTTGGCCGCACCCTATTTCCATCTGCTTCGGCTACGGTCCTAGTGATCGCAGTGACCAAAGTTTACTTCTCTGTGAATCGTAGTTTCCATTATGATTGCGCGTCGCAATCCAATCACACTACCTGTAATCCAAAATGAACCCTCCAATGAGTCATTCACCCTTGTGACAAGAGTTGCTCGCCGTGACCCGGTAGCCAAGGGGTAGAGGTTTCTGCTACTATTCCAATGGTTGCGGGTTCGAGGTCTGTCATCTCCACCTGATGAGATGAAATGACATCGAAATGCCTCGTGGTTGTGCAGTGTTTTCGGGCGAGCGACACCCAGTTGCCATCTGTCTCTGTAAAATGTTTGCCAAGTTTCTAGCAAATTTTCACACACGCGTTTTTCTTCGAGCTTTTTCATTGTCTCTGACCCTAATCCGACGAACAGCTTCTGCACGGGCTCACTGCAGCGGCAGTAGCTCGCCACCTATCAGTGAGAGCGAAATGTGGCAAATGACAGTTTAGTATCTATGCATGCCACAACATGCTCGCAGTAACCACATCGCTCTCCCTCTTCCTACTGCCGCGCTGCTTCAAAGGTTCGGTTTGTTTGCGTGCACCCCTCGTATACTCTCGAAAGTGGGATCGGCGCTGCTTCTAGAATTTACATGCCCACCTTCAACTTCGGTGGCTCTCTCTGGCTTAAAGTTCGTCTGTGGTTCATTGTTCTTGTCATCTTGGGTTTCTGCCAATCTTTGCCTGGCCTACCTGCGAAATTTCCTTCTACTATGAGACGACTATCGCTAGTCCCGATTCAGAGCAATTGTCCGCCGGAAGCTGCCTCCTTATCTCCGCGCGACTAGTAGAATGAAACAGGCTGTCATATAATCCTTTTCTTCTGAAATTTTGTAATCGAAATGTTCTTTTAATTTCTGTTTCCGTCAGCCTCGTTAAGAGTGATAGCTCTACCTGGCGACAGGCTGACAGACATGGAGTGTGCTGATGTCACTGCTGTCTCTGTTGGTCGAACCTGCCCTATATGCACGCCTTATTAGATAGGCTAACGCATAGCGCTGCACGTTTCGACATGTCCTTTGTAGCTAAAATACCCAGCGCCTTGTTTCGTGATTTGACTTATGCGCCACTATTCTTTGCTATCGTTGAACACCCACCCTAGTATGCGAATCACTCGTACAAATCTTTGGATGCAGGAATACATTCGTTCGCATTTAAGTGTCGTAACGTTTGCCACTGGTA